AATTACAGTGAAGTTACAAAGTACTTATATGAAACTTTCCTGCGATACTGAGTTATGACCACATCCTTTCCTCCAATTTCGAGGGCTCACTTTCGACACATAACATCAACTAGCACATCCTAGAATAAGTGCTAATGTTAAGCTGATAACTAGCCATTTATCGAACCTCAATTACAAAAGCTATCTGCTTATAAGCCAAGTCATGCATTCCTTATTAATGCCTTCCTTATATTTGTATCCTTATTAAAAGACACACACACCCCAAAAGAAAAAGAAAAAAAAAAAAAAAACATTTGCATATATAAGGGCTCCTGTTCATAAGACAGAAATTTCTAACAGCAGATCTGAATATGTGCCCACAGATTTAACTGGACCACTGTCACTATCTTATGCAGTAAATGCTAGTTTGTTTTAACAATGGCAGATACACTTAATGCTATTTGAGACTGTCATAAAGAACCTCTAAAAGTATGAAAATGAAAACTGAATGCAACAAACTGTATAGATTTACTTTGATTGAAATTTTTTGTATTTTTGAAGAATTTCTGAAAGTTTGAGTAAAAAATTTAATAACCCATAAAATCATCCGTGTTTAGGATGTTAGGATATATTGGATTGGCAACTAAGTAATTGCGGATTTCACTCATAGATGGCTTCAGTTGAATTTTTAGGGTTGCAGACGTATTACAAATGTAAAACACATTTTGTTATTTGATAGTTGGCAATTCAGCTGTCAATAAGTAAAAAAAGTTTTTTTGATCGGTTGCGTAGTTTTCGTTTGGCGTTCGTTGAAAAATGGAAAATCAAAAGGAACATTTTCGTCATATTTTGCTTTTTTATTTCCGCAAAGAAAAAAACGCATCGCAAGCTCTTAAAAGTTATGCGCTGTTTATGGTGACGAAGCCTTAAAAGAACAGCAGTGTCAAAATTGGTTTGCCAAATTTCGTTCTGGTGATTTTTCACTCAAAGATGAAAAACACTCTGGTCGTCCAGTTGAAGACGATGATGACCTAATCAAAGCAATAATCGGTTCAGATCGTCACAGTACAACACGTGAGATTGCAGAGAAGCTTCATGTATCACATACATGCATTGAAAATCACATAGAACAACTTAGCTATGTTCAAAAACTCGATACATGGGTTCTTCACGAACTGAAAGAAACACATTTAACGCAACACATTAACAGCTGCGATTTGCTAAAGAAACGTAATGAAAATGATCCATTTTTAAAACGACTGATAACTGGCGATGAAAAATGGGTTGTTTACAACAATATCAAGCGGAAAAGATCGTGGAGCAGGCCGGGTGAACCAACTCAAACAACATCAAAAGCTGATATTCATCAAAAGAAGGTTTTGTTATCAATTTGGTGGAATTACAAAGGAATTGTCTGCTTTGAACTCTTACCACCCAACCGAACGATCAATTCTGATGTTTACATTGAACAACTTAATGAAATTAAACAATGCAGTTGAAAAAAAGCGGCCCGAATTGACAAATTGAAAAGGTGTTGTATTCCATCATGACAATGCAAGGCCACACACATCTTTGGTCACTCGGCAAAAATTATTGGAGCTTGGTTGGGATGTTATGTCACATCCACCATATAGTCCTGACCTTGCACCATATGATTACGTTTTGTTTCGATCTTTACAAAACTCCTTGAATGGTAAAAATTTCAATAATGATGATGATGTCAAATCATACCTGATTCAGATTTTTGCTAATAAAAACCAGAAGTTTTATGAACATGGGATTATGATGCTGCCTGAAAGATGGCAAAAGGTCATTGATCAAAATAGGCAATACATTACAGAATAAAGTTATTTAGTTCCATGAAAAAAGTTGTCTTTGATTTTCTAAAAAAAATCTGCAATTATTTAGTTGCCAACCCAATACATTCCATGCATAAAGGAAACACTTTCATTTTACATTTATGTCACACCCACTTTTCTCTGCTCTCTGACTCCATTTAAATTCTCTCATTAGAGGTTGTTACCCTCTGCAACTTTACAGCAATTGACTATGGCCACGACTATACAAACACATGCAACAGTATGGCAATTAGCTTGTGCTTGTATGTGCTGATCTTTGCAATGATTTTCCTATTAAATTTTGTTATTATTTTATGATAAAATATAAGTAATGTAATAAAAGATAGATAAAGATGTGTAGATATACATCCTCATTTCTTCAGCTGTAATTTTTTCTACTAAGAGAGATGATGTTCATTGATAATTATTTGGAAAATTCTGTTTACCTAACCTCCACTTCTCACATGTAAAAATAGCAGTCCCTCAAAAAAATTCAAACAAGAGGAAACTGACCCCAAAAAGTCAAGGATACATTTTTAAAAATGTATTTAAAAACAAATGAATGATGAAAATATTTATGACATATATTAGCTTTAAAAAACTATTTTTTTTAAATTTCCATCAAATTGTTTTATTATAATGTTAATAAATTAAATAATTAATAAGTCCGTTGATTAAAAGAAATTAGAAGTAATTCATCAATCTATTTACATAATAACTCGATTATGGCAATTTAAAAAAAATAAAGGCATTCTTGCAACAAATGATGTACCACCCATGAACCACAATAAAAGCAAAGAAGCTGATGCTGAACAAGAAAAGCAGCATAAATAAATGTATATATAGACTTATATATATTTATTTTTCTAACAGAACCACGTTGTTTTATTACATTATACAACATTACCAGAAGAATGCATGATGTGGCCCTGATGAGAACTTCTAGTATCCCTCGATGGTCATCACTGTACTTTAAACACATTAAAAGCAGTTCATGCCTTCCTAATTGGCATTTGTCAATTGAAGTGGTCCTATTTCACATTTGTCAATAGTGATAGGCATTGCTGTTTTCCATTTACACAAACAATTTCCTGATGGTTTTCAAAATGGCCAGAAAACTGTCTCTATTTTGATAGATCGTCATCACAATTTAGCAAGGTGACGGATGAGGCAGCATTGTAGATGTCATTCCTCTAATATTGTATACAATTATTTTTTAAGATGACCCTGTAGAAATTCTATCATCTGTGTTGGCACCATTAGCAGGATCAACAAAATTCGTTTGATGACTTACTATTAGGTGGGTGTATCCAAGTTGGTCTAGAGTCAGATTCCTCATTTCACCACCACACATACCACATATTGGTATGGTTATAGCCGAAAATATCGCGGACGAAAACAACGTAAGGCGAAACCGTCGTGCTACAAAACATCGTGGGAGAAAACATCGCAAAGAGAATACATCGCGGTTCTAAAACATCGTGATACAAAACATCGTCGTCCAAAATAAAGCGGTTCAAAAACTTCGCAGTTTAAAAACATCGTCGTCGAAAATATCGCGATAAAAAATAAAGTATCTACAAATCATCGCATGGCGATAACATCGCAGACATGCTTTTTTTCAGGCTTTTATAATTGTAAATGGATATTTCCATAATGATTTATGAGCGCAAGAGGGAAATAAGGATAATCTTTACTTTCATATTTTTTATTAACTAATAAATTTTTGCTGAAAAAGTAAGAAGGAAATTTAAGCATAAAAAATTAAGGCAACTTATAGCACTTAATAGAATTTTAAACTGACATAGTTCACTAACAAAGATCATTAATAAATCCTTTTTTATACAGTTTTTACTGGTAATTTTTCATTAAAAGTATAATCTAAAAATGTTTAGAAAAAGGAAGCTACGTAACTGCATGACCTTAGCTATAAAAAAATTACTAGTTATGAGATTATTTTCTTTACTTTTGTCAATCTAATACTCTTATAATGAAAATTATTTCTTGGTTTGCTTCAGTTTATTCTTAAGTATTAAGTCTTCTTCTTACTTTTTCAGCAAAAATTTATTAGTTAATAAAAAAATATGAAAGTAAAAATTATCCTCTCGCGCTCACAAATCATTATGGGAATATCCATTTACAAGTATCAAAGCCCGAAAAAAGCAGGTCTGCGATGTTATCGTCCTGCGATGATTTGTCGATACTTTATTTTTTACCGCGATATTTTCGACGACGATGTTTTTAAACTGCGAAGTTTTTTAACCGCTTTATTTTCGACGACGATATTTTATACCACGATGTTCTAGAACTGCGATATTTTCTCTTTGCGATGTTTTCTCCCACGATGTTTTGTAGCATGACGTTTTCGCCTTGCGGTTTTCTCCGCGACGTTTTCGCCCGCGATGATTTTGCGGCGATGTTGTCGCCGGACACCATTGGTATACTATTTACATCAGGTAATAAAATGTTGAATAAGAAGAAATGTATTGCAGATTCCTCAGTTGTAATTATATAACAGAATTCAGCTGCTCTCATCTTGATGACATTATTCATAGTTATCAAATTGACAGATCTCACTTCCTTTGACTTTTTTGTCAGAGAGGCACCTAAATATAAGCAAAGACAAAGAGGGAAAATTGACAGATCTCACTTCCTTCGACTTTTTTGTCAGAGAGGCACCTAAATGTAAGCAAAGAGGGAACCAGTCAAGACCATGATTTGTACTCATAACCAAATGCAAATACAGAGCAGGTTATCTGTTGTTATAGAAATGACTCTGTACATCATCTGTTGCAAGAATACCAAAAGTGTTATTCCTCTCATATTCTATACTGACCTACTGAAGTAAAAATAGTAATAAAAATATAAAAAGGCTTTTCACTTCTGAATGAAATAATTTAGAATTTATGCATCTTAAAAGAATTTTAGTTTGAAGTGTACTTTTCTACAATCTGCACACTCAAATTAGATTTAAATGAAAAAAGTAACCTAAAATTCTATCTACGGAGATATTCATTTCAAAATGTTCTTTATTTTCTTTTCGCATCAAAGGTGGTAATTTTGCCAATTAAGGGACCATTCTAATGATAACTGTTGTAGAAATTTGTGTACATTTGTTGTAAAAAAAAGAAAAGCAAGTATGTGCATATTCCTTCTATGTGACTGAAACCCTTCTAAATTTATTCAGTTTTTTCGGTTATTCTGCACTTTTATTTTTTTGGGGGGGATATACAGTATACTGCAGTAACAACAACAAACTGATATTCTAAATTTAAAATGAAAACTGGTTGTATTTTCTCTAAAAAATAATCAAATAAATAGTTTTAAATAATGTAAAGAAATAAAATTTAATAACATACATTTAAATGAACATGTTTTATAAATAACATTAAAATGCTATTACAACCAATATTTAAAAGTTCCCTAAAAACATAAATAATTTCTATGCTTCAGAGATTTCATAATTCTGAAAGTACTTGATTTTTAATAGTCTGAAAATCAGTATCACATTTAGTCATACTTTAAAACCCAAATTTATTTTTTAATGATAAAATGCTGCAAAAAAACAATTCTTTACACATTCTAGTCACATGGATTCTGAAATTTTGCAGCTAATCTTTGCTTTGGTTTACTTTTCAAAACTTGTAGGTTTGTACTAAGTGAATTTGAAGATTTATTATTAGCATTAGATGAAAGAGGTTCAGAACTTTTAGAAACTTCAGAATATGACTTAGTCCTTTCTTCACAAAAATTATGCACTTCCGTAGCACATTTGTTTGGTAAACTCTCTTCTTTCTTTGTTGATAAAGCTGGCCATTCATCAGAAACATTTACACCAGAATGGGGAGACTTCCTTGCTTGCTTCATCACTTGACCTGGAACAAACATACTTGTAGATGAGTTATCACTACATATCTTTTGGCTTGATTTTAGTCCACCACGAGCTGTTGCAGTCCCTCCACCAGGGAAATGAATTACATCATCTTCAGAAGTGGCTACACTGCTATTAATTTTAGCAGGACTTGAATTCTGTTGTACAGGATAAGGTAGCTTTGAGTCCAAAAGCAACATCTGGTTTGCTTTCACAAATGAATCGGGTATAGAAGGAGGAAGCACAGGTTGAGGATGCCTTAAAAGTGGAGCTTCAAAGCATCCTGGTGCAGCATATGGTTGAAAAAATGGTGGTGGTGGGAAACCTGAATTTTGGGCATATGCAGCTGGAAAGCTAGGATTTTGGGTAGGAGGAGGATATAACATAAATCTGAAATCAGGTTGATAAGTCTGCGGTGGAATTAAGGGCCTTAGTAATGCACTTTGTTCTTGAGGAATTGAGTTGTTTAAACAATTCTGATTAATAACATTGTGATGAATCTTCATCGAATTCAGAAATGCAAGTGCTTTTTCTGCTGCATTTAACATAGCTTGATGTTTAGTAGGAAATGGATTACTGGTCACATTTTCAGAATTTGGCAATCTTAAAGTAGCTATAACCAAACTTGTATTTCCATAATTATTATAGCTATATGTGGGTTGCATACCAAATTTCTCAGCACAGAACCGGAATAATAAATCAGTTGCCTGTAGATGAGATGTTTGATTCTTAACTGGTGGTATCCTTTTTGAGGCATACATATTTTGCTCTTGATTTGAATCTGCCTTATCCTGAACATACTGAAAGAGCTCTTCAACAGAAAGCTTGCGACAGTAAGTGCTATTTGGAACACTTTTTGTTGGCGAAGACTCGGGAGCTTTTTTCTTCAAATCGGCCCAAAAACTTCGATAATCCGATTGAGGGCTAGAGCAATTATCTTTAGTCATAATTTTAGGGCTATTGTCATATCCTCCTCCCAAAGGGCTAGTCTGATATTCTGTTTGAGAGCTATTGGGGTACTTTCTCCGTGCAATTTTTGTATTATTATTACAGCCGCCACTAGCAGGACTAGCTTTAGGTGTCACAAAATGCATATCTGATACCGAGATCCCAGATAAATTGGATGAGAAAGGCTGATCTACTGTATTTAAAATACCTGGCTGACTCTGAAAATTTTCAGAATCAGCTTTGTAAAATGGCTTGCTTTGAAGTAACGACAACGGTTTTTTCTGAAGGACTTGAAATGGTGTAGACGGAACCTCGGACTTCAACTGTCTCACGGCTGAATCAAACAAATTATTCTTATGTAACCTTGGTATAATATTTTTTGGAGAATAACACTTCTTCTTTAACCTTTCTCCGTGACTTATATTGATAAGAGAATTAGGTGGAAGCCGATAAGCCTTTGGAGAAGAACAACCAATATGTAAGCCACCAAAGAAATCTTTATCAAAAAGTATCTCATACATGAAATCCAACTCTTTTTCAGCAGAACGGATTCCTATGATAGTCCCTTTCAGTCCCAGTGGCACACTTGAAGAATGTGAAACATTAACAACTCTGTCAAAAAGATCAAAAGTTACTGTTGGATCAGGCATTGATACACCTTTATTTAAAAAGGGGCTATACAATTGATGAGGTTTTATTGACTTTTTCATATGATACACTTCTTCACTTTTCATCCCAGTCTGAACCCACTGTTCAATTGCAGACACAATGCCAACATCCAATTTCTTCATGCCACATTCTTGCCGTTCTGCAGAAATGCACGGTTGTGATTTTAACCATTTTGTTATTTTATTGATAATCTCATTCCCTTTACCATCAGGATAAATATCCTCCAAATAAACTACATCATTTCTAATAAATTTGAGCAATTTTTCAAAAAAGTCCCCAAATTCTATCAAGTAGGCATTTAAGGTCTTCACTGCTTCCTCTGAATACAACCACAGATTGTCCTTCTTCTTAGAGAAGCCTTGAACTTCTTCATTTTTACGATTGAATTTCAAATTAAGCCCTATATTCACACGGTTTGGGCTGGTGCTCTCTTTAGGGCTAGTCTGAACTAAAAATGTTCCAGTAATACGGGATATAAAATGTGAATCAACTCCTAATTGCTGTGCAACATAATATCCAGGCATAAACTTTTCTTTAGTTAATTCAACTTGTTTCTGTATAATATGCTGCAAGTCTGGTTCTGATGTGCTTTCTATATCTACCAATATACTTCCTTTATTTTTTACAACATCAATATCAATAATAGTCCCTAAGTTTCCATAAAACTGTGGTGCAAGCACAAATACAGTTAAACCCGGTGAAAATATATCTACAACATTTTTGTTGCACTTGATATCAGGAGAAAAAGCTTCAACATTTCTAACAGTCGTCTGAATTGCATAATTGCTAAGTGTTCCTTCCCACTGTTTGTCTTCCTTTACTTCACCATCCTCTGTTAATATATATTTTATACCGGTACAGCATTTAACATGAACAAGGATATCTACTGCTCCCACAAATATACCCCATCTTTGGTAACAATGTTCTTCAACAGATTCAACCTGACGTTGCCAAATCTTTTCTTCATCTAAGGACATTTCCTCTTCTTTTATATTTAAATTACCAGACTTTTTATTTTTTTCAAATGCAAATTTAACTTTTGAATCCGTAACAGATATTACCATTGCTTCACGGAGGTGAGGCCAACCAACATAAATAGTTTTACCAATAATATCTTTAGCTATTTTTCCTATATTACCTTCTTTAGGTTCCTTCATCATTAACATCATATTATCTTTTTGACTTACTGACTGGAATACTTTAACCTTTTCATTCCTCAGACACGCAGAATGTCTCAGTGTCTTCAGCATAGCGAAACCTAATATGAACCGATTTAAATTTACTCCTTTGCAAAGACCTTTGACAATTGAATCAGCAGGAAGTCTAAAAAAATCAGGATCAACCATTTCAAGTTTAGCGTGTGAATCATTAAGTGATGGAAAGTAATCAGGGAGAATTGAAGGAAAAGGGCCATGTGATTTTTTGTCAAAGGTATAGAGAAGATGAGGACCATGACGATTACGCTCTTTCTCCTCTTCATTTAATTTTTCATCTGCTACAGTTGTACATTTAAGCAACAATTTTTCATTGATGAATGGTATTAAAACTACAGCTTCCCATTCTTGTTGTTTGCCATTCAAGTCAGTCTCAAAATCATCAGGATAGTAATCAATCAAAGGGGAATCCTCATCACACATTAAATTTTGATATGATACAGGTAAAAGATCCTTGCTTAACTTCGGTAACACAGCTAAAAGTTGTTGAAATGGCAAAAATGGTTTTCCCAATTCAAAATTCATTTTCATGTTTTTAAAATCTTTGACATCTGATATGTACGGTGAATAATGATGCGGGTAATACCAACTCCATGATACAACACCATTATAATAATAATGTAAATTCCACTGTATAGCTCTAACATACCCTTCAGCTTGATCTTTCATAATTTCAGGTGTCAATTCTTCAAAGTCTAGTTTATTGGTATAATAATAATCCTTATGCATTTTGAATTCAAGCTCTAGAGTTGAATCGTCATTGCTTTCATAATCATCGTCATCATCATCCTCGTCGTCTTCCTCTTCTTCACCAGAAGAATCAAATTCTGCTGTTTTACTTATAGCCATGCTGCTGAACCCTAAATTGGACAAAAACTCTGATGTATTTCTTTTTTCATTTTCATTTGCAGCACTTTTCTTTAATTTCGATTTTCCTTCCAAATATTCAAAATCTTCATTCATTTCACCAAATTTTTGAAAATCATATTCTGAAAGTTTTCTCAAGAATATCTCAAAACGTTCCAAGTTTAAATATCCCTCTTCATTTATATAACCATCTAGAGATGGCAAAACATCCATATAAGTTTGAAATAAAACAGGCAAAGCATCATGATGAATATGAAGCTGAGGCAAGTGAGGAATAAAATCATTTCCAACAAGGAAACTCATAAGAACAAAATCATCTACAATATGTTCTAAATCAAATTCAAATGGAATTTTCTTCTTTACCGGAGAAAATTCATGTTCTAAATAATCTCTTAGTAAAGATATGTGAAGTAAATGAAAAGTAGTTTCTTCTGGGGTCATTATTCTTTTCTGGTTTTTTTTGCCTCCAAATTTTACTTCTTCTCGCAGTAGACAAAAATAAGGTTCATGAGAACAAAGACCAAGCATTATAAGATCAGCATCTAGACCATATAAACAATGTCGAGTATTTGGATTATAACCAGGTTGGGACTTTTCATAACGAATAAAATCCATTATTTTGTGCTCCCCTTCTCCAGGAGTCTCATGACCAGAAAAATATACACGTACATTTTGCCACAATCTATCTGATGAAATTTTGTACACAATAAAGCCCTTAAGAACGTTATGAAACCTAGCCATGAAAGATGTTCCAGGTGTTATGCAATTAGAATCGAACCTGGCTTCTGTTGGAAGATCCTCACCACAGGATTTGGCCTTTTCTTCCAGCATCAGAGCTGCTTTGGCTGTTCGAAAACGTCTACCTCTTTGCTGATTCATTTTAGCCCTTGGTGCAACACCATCAACAGCCATAAAGAAGACCTTCTTCGGCTTAATCATCTTAAATAAGAAGTCTATATAATGGCATATGTTTGCAAATATTCTCTCTTCAGTTATTCGAAAGTGTGGATCATCATCGTTTGGATGTGAGCAAGTATGTATTATTCCATTCATATCTAAATATAAATTATCAAAATCTGGTATCTGGAATTCTTTTATGACTTCACTTAGGCATGGATAGCGTTCACTAATCCAACGATAAAACTTTGGAACACCCATAATGTCACTAACCTGTATATTTGAGAAAAATAAATTATAAGAATGGGAAGTTTTTAAAAATGCATGCAAGTTATTACTCATAAAATCATGAAAAATATGCAGTTTTGTACATATACTGCTAGCCCTCCAAAATGCAACACTGTGACGAATAAAAGATATAACAGCTATATTTACAGGACAAGTAATATAAGAGTGAACATATTAAAATTATGGGCATGTTTTACTTGCAGAACACAAAGAAATCAGTACTTTCTGTAGCCAATGACTGGAATAACTGTTGCAATATAACTTGATAAGAAGTACTGGGTGTGGCCTTGAGAGATATATCAATCTATGCTATTCTAATAAGCTGAAGTTCATGTGATATAGCCACTAGTTAGTATATTGAGCAAATGTTTACCAATCATCAACCAGACACTTTAGATGAGTAACACATCAAGAGAACAAGTGAGCCAAGACAAAGTTGTAACTTGGCGGGCAATGAATAACTGTTTAATATTATGTCTTATTTGTATCTACAAAATGTCTTGTTGAACTGGTTACAGTAATGTAAGAAAATATGATGAATTAATATCTGAATGTAAAGGAGGATACTAAGCGTCAATACTTCATCAGCAACTACAAGATAACCAAAAATATTCTTGCCGTTTTGGACAGCCAGAAAGAAAAATTCATAAAACAAGTAATAATCACTGCTAATCCTCAAAGTAATCACTATCGCCATCCAGTGCATTTTGCTATGCTCTCACAGTAAAACTGAGGAGTCTTGGATGCAAAGAAGTCCTTTTTGAGGTCTGGCCGACTGCTGAAGAATTTCCCATGAAGATGGCTGTTCAGGGAATGGAAAAGATGGTAGTCTGTTGGCACAAAGTCTGGGGAGTATGGTGGAAAGGTTAGTGTCTTCCAGCCCAGTTGCTGGATGGTGTCCCTGGCCTCCCTAGCCACGAGTGGCCTCACATTGTCATGGAGGAGGAGTAAACCCTAACAAATGACCAATACTGGCTCTTTATGCTTCAGTGCCTGATGCATACGTTCCAAGTGCTGCGAGTACAGGCCAGCCATGATGGTTTGGCCCACTGGCAGGAGCTCATTTAGTGCACCACTTGGCGACTAGTCCACCAGATACAGAGCATGATCTTGCATGGGTGGACAGAAGGTCTTGCAGTGTAAGCCACAGGGTCCCGTGGTGACAACCAGTGTCTGTAACGCCTGGATGTGTCATAATGGACCCACTTTTCATCGCTGGCAAATACTTGATAAAATATGGATGCATTGCAGTGCCGAGTAAGCAACAGGCAGCGACACAGTCTGCACTGAGCAAGTAGGTACTCCATTCACTGTCCGATGCAAACATGCAGACAGGCAGTAACACAGTCTGCATGTTTGCATCGGACAGTGAATGGAGTACCTACTTGCTCAGCTTGTATGCCTTTCCTATGCGGTGCAAATGGAGTCTCATTGTTTCTTCAGATACCTGGAAATGTGCAGCAAGCTCATCACATGTATGGCTATGTCACTCTCTATCAGGACCTCTGCATGGTGCAGACTACGAGACATATCCTCTGACCTGCACTTCCAGAACCACTGCCTAGTGGTTCATTCATTAACGGCATCATCCTCAAAGGGCTGTCAAATTTGGTGACTTGATTCTGCTGTTGATAAGCCCACTTTAGAATCATACAACAAACAACTCCGAACGAGCACCTTCGATGTGTCCATTTCAATCAGTCGCTGTGCGAGTTATGTTTGAAGTACCGATGTAATGCCCTTTTATGCTCTTGGTCAATGTCTGAACTCCCATCTTTAACCACTTCATCACCAGGTTTGGCAACTATTTTTATGTTGGGATTCACTCTTCCAATGTCATATAAGAAACAGCAGGAACTTTGGTTACCTTGTACATAATGAAAGTGCAGGAATAAAATCCAATAGTACTACATATCATAACTGTATATCATGGACTAAGACAATGCATAAAACAATGGTCATGATATCTGTTGCCTGTAAAGACAATATTGTGCTATTCATTTGTCTATGTGCAGTATTTAATGCACCTTTGCTGCTACATACGTCTTGGTGTCCCCACCTCTCTAGGCAACGTTAAATGATATGTGCTGATACAAGCTCCTGTACGGAGCACTAGATTCTTGCACTACATTTCTTAATGCTGCTGTGTGATCCATCATCACCATCCATCCTGACCGTTTTCTCATTTCATGGCATAATAAAGGTAATGCCATCATTGATGTTCAGTTTTACCATTCCCCATGAATTCACAGATTTCATATTTGTGTTTTATGTAATACAAGCACTGATTTCTTAGAAGGATAATATGCACATTCTTGCAAGATGAAACGTTTCCTCTGTCAAAGGAAAAAATTTGTTCAACTGCCATTTTCTTCAACAAAGCATACTGAAGTTTTCTATCAAAGGAACAGCAGAAAAATGGATAACTCCAGTACCTAAAACTGCCTACAGTTCTTTTCATAGAGCTTCTTGGCGGCATTACTGGCACTGAACATGATTTGCATATGTGTTGCAATACATATCATTTGCATGTTCTATAAACGTCTAAATATGGTTAAATGTCAAGGCTACTAGATACTTCCGTCCTGATATTGCATTTTGGATGGTCAGCAACATATAAAAATGTGAATATACAGTACTACACCTGTTGTCTAAAATATGGATTTTCAAACTTAAGCTGTGACCCATTAGATGTTATATAAATAATATGGGGAATATTATGGGGAAAAATATCAGATTTTTAAAATTTTATATTTTTTGAATAATTAAGAAAATAATAGTTTATACCTATGTAAAATGTATATGTCTTTTGATTTTTCCACATTGAAAAGTATTTCAATTACTATTCAGTAACTTTAACCCTCTGAATATCACAGATACAACATTCCATACCAAAGGATGGTTTTTCTCATTTGGTCACATGAAAATTTTTGCCTGATCCTGATAAATATGATTTCGGGTTGAGTGTACACTGAAAAGAAAGGAGTTCATGTACAAAGTTAGTAGGGTCATTTTATTTTTCCAGAAATTTACAATCCAGAAAACACCACTTTTTTGTGACATTTAGGGAAGCACCTTAAAGCTCGGAGGGTTGAATTTAATTTTTATTATGGGCAGTGTGAGATTGGACAAACTTAAGTTTGGTTTAAAACATTAACTTAACTTTAAAACATTAATGTAAATTTAATACCTACCTTTATCACATTATATTTCCCATTTATGTCATGAATAAAATTATATAAATAAAACAATATATGTTCTAGTGGGATTATTAAGTTCCGAATTTTTCGATGGATGAAAGATAATTAAAAATAAGCTGGTTGAGTATATAAAATCTAAAAAGGCATTTTTAGAAATAAATTAACTGAACTCGAGTACATTTTGCATTTCAATGTAAGAAAATGTTAAACTGTCTCTGTTTATAGAAAGCTTGTACTTTTATTAAAAGAAAAAGTATTCGACATTCAAAATAACCAAAGACATATAACTGGTTTTTACTGCAAATTCCAAACTGTTTAAGTGCATATGATCAGCAACATGCATGTCTGGGATTTTTTTTTACAAGCTTTGTTCAAATTTGTTGAAGCAGATATCCTAAGAATGCACGTAGCAGTATGTTACATAGCCCTTTCTGTTGCAAAGAAAGACCGCATTTTCAACTTTGTAATAATTCTATGAAACAAATCTTGAAATTATGCATGAAGAACATGAAACAACTAAGTTAAAAACTTGAAACAAGGAAAAAGGAACTCTCCTGAAATTCCTCCTTCTTATCATCTAATCAGCTAAGGGTTTGACTAAGAAACTCCCAAAATGTTACAACAAAAAGACATTTCTGGGGGGTCTCTTTCTTGTTTCCTAGCGACAATCCTGAAAAGTGCTACGAGTTTTTTCTTCGTTATTATTCTAAATGCCGCTGCTATTTTATACAGTGGAACCTCGAGATACGAGTTTAATTCGTTCCAGTATTGAGCTCGTAAGCGAAGTTCTCATATCTAGAAACAAACTTTCCCCCTCAAAATAATAAAAATCCAGTTAATCGATTCCAAACCCCCAAAAATAGCAATCTAAAAATCAATTTTTCTAATAAATAACACTGGTAAATAATACAACCGAAGTTTACCTTCATGACAGCTTACGACAAATGATAGCTTCCGGCAACGACCTTTTAACTGCTTCTAATTAATCTACACCAACGACAGCTTCTCAACATCTTCTAGAAGTTTTGGACAGTGTTTGGAAGTAACGGTAACTCCTTTGGCTACATCAAGTTTCTTAATTTCTTCCTGCGTCTTCAGAATAATGTAAATCGTTAATGTCGAAAGGCGGTAAGTCTTTGGGAATTCCATCACTCTTACACCACGCTTGTTTATCTATGATTTCTTTTTTAATTTCAACAGAGATGGCTTTCTTATTTTTCTTTGCTGCACTATCTAAAGCAACAACCCTCTTTGGAGGCACTGTGAATTAATTACTTTCACGTTAAATCTAATAAACAATCGACTCACAAGCGCTCAAAGAACACAGAGTGATTTGAGGAGGAAATTCCCTGCATCGAGCTTGACCAGGAAATGGCACCACGCATACCAACAGCCTGGCTCATTCCTCGACTAAAAGCTCGTATTTAGAGAAAAAATTTTCGCTCGTACTTTCCTCATGTATAAAAGATGCTCACATCTCAAGGTTCCACTGTACCTGGTCCCTTTTTCTTCTAATATCTGTTTTTTCTTCTATAACTGTTTGGCCATGTTTCATGATGCTCGTACAGTGAACTAATAAAAAACATGAGATTATTCTATATCTCCCATTGTGATATCTCAATCAACAAAATTCAACTGTTTATTAGCTGTTCAATTCAACAACTGTGTATGTACTAATTCAGAAGTCAAACAACAAAAATCAGCGTTATTCTTCGGCGTGTTATTGTGTCTTAACTGTGTATGTTTTTCAAATCTTAGTATGGCTTAAGATGTATATTAGATACA